CTGTAATTACGTTTGACTGTACAGAGATTTTCCCTTTTCCTTATTATTTGAACTACTTTTTAATTTGTTAACCCAGTGGTTTCCTTTTTTCTGATGTGCCCCCCCGAGGTATTTCAGATAAGTTAAAGTACCTCATGTAAGGAGTGAATTAGATCCAATTGATTAGAAATGTACCGTTATTCAAGTTCTCTTATATTAAAGTGGAATACGGTCACATAATGTTAAATATATTTGATTAGCTCTCTTATGTAGACATTTATTTCGCAACACACAGAGACATATTAACCACAAACTCTACATCTAATACAGTAACCTTTTAATGACTGTTGTTGGCTAACAAAACTATTTCAACCATTTTATCCATTACTATTGACTAACCAATTTTAATTGTCTAAGTATTTTAGCTATATATTTCAAGTGTTATTGCATTTTCTAGCCAACTATTTTAACAATTTTTTTCTTACTTTTAGCTAAACATTTTTTCTTACTTTTTCTAAATAATTTGTATCTCACTATTTCACTGGTTATTCCATTTATTTAACTAAGAATTGTAACGGTTTATTCAATACTTTTGGCTAAAGATTTGAACTTTCCATCCAGTAAATTCAGCTAATTATTAAAGGTTTATAAATCACCTTTGAATAAGGATATACAACAATTTGTATATGTATATATATTTATATATTTCTTTCAAATACCAGACCTTCATTTTTTCTATTTACTTTGGCAAATGCAGAAGTGCCCCCTTGCATACACAAGCTACATGTCAGCACAGTGAGTGAATTGTGGGTAAAATGTTATCCAGTAACAGCAGTATCTGAGGGACAGGAGTTTGGTTCATCATGGGAAAAGTCAATGAGACACTGCACAGCATGTTTGTTGTCTTGGGCCGTTGATGCCAGTGAAATGTTCTGGTCAAAGTTTGTTGTGGTCGTTCAGGAGAGAGAAATAAGATCTCAGTGCAGATCCAGAAATCTGAGTCATAGAGGAACGACTGAGTGCAAAAGCAAGAAGTGGTATGAAAATAGTATAAAAGAAGGGAGAGGTTAACAAAGAGAAGGCACCAACTTTGACCGAATGACTTCTGCAAACAAACACTAAGCCCTCACGACGTGGCAGTATCACAGTCTGGTATTACAAGACAAACTCTGTCAAACACAAGAGAAGACCTGGAAAATGTAACCTCTTTTTAAAAGGTACCTCTAAAATAGCATTGTTATTAGGGAGAAGGGAGAATCTAAATAAAATATATGAGATAGACATTGCATAGTTTTTCACTTCTATGCATCCGTAAAGCACTTTGTGAAGGAGTCGACATATGGGTCAAATGTTATGGAGGGTGGACATGTTAGATTTACTGTGTATGTGGGAGAAAGAGCTAAATGTTTACATTGTGGAGGAGTGTGCTGTATAGAACTCAAAGGGCTGTTCATTTGGCAATTTGCAACAAAAACACTATGGAAAGGATGGATGTATAGCCTGCTCATTTAAGTTTCCAAATGTGTAAACCAAGAGAAAACAAGCCTAAATCTCGTAAAGGTTCTTACATATTTGGGTTTTGATATATGTGACCTGCTCTATCGAAATCAGTCGCATTGACCTAAAGACACATTTTGAGTTGTATTGGAAAGAGGGGATTCCTAGCTTTCTAATGATATCATGATTGTTGTTGTTCTCCAAATATTAAGCGAAATGTTACATTATATAATGACTGTCGCCGAGTCATCCTTTTGAGAAAAAGGCCTTCAAAGTTTCCTCTTCTCTGGAATCCATCGATTTGATTGATTATTAGCGGAGCAATTTATCAAAGTAGTACGGAGGGAAAATATTTTCGTTTGGATTACTGGTCTGGGGGAAGCTCGCGAGTGTGTGTACGTGTGTGTGCTCGTGTATTTTTGTGAGTATTGTGTTTGTTTCCTGGGGAAAACCCTCACAAGAAACACCGGCTGTTGTTGTGCCTGCTGTGACATCAAGTTACTCCGTTCTCCGCTTGTAATTATGCCGTGACAAGCTTTAAAGTTGTATTTATCATCTGAATTTGCCGAAACAAGTTTAATATTCTGAAAACCAAGACTTTGTTTATTTGAAATCAGATGAAAACAAACTGTAATGGACCCTGTCGTGTTATCTATGATTACTATACGCCTTACATTCATCATTTCAGCCGGAGGGAATGGGAGCGGCGCCGCGGAAGAGCAGGGTGTGAGTGAGGGGTGCCTTTCATCTTCACTTTACAAGCTTCAAAAATGTATTAATCGTGATATTTTGGCAATAAATGTTTCATATTCTGAAAGCCAAGACTTTGTTTATTTAAAATTAAACAAAACACCCGAACCCTGAAAAAATTGTTTTTTACACAAATCCAAGTTTATTTTGAAACGAGCCGTTGCGACTTCCGACTGCTTTCGATAAAGCGGGTCACATATAGTCTTTACTGTAAATGCCCCCGCTTCATAACAAATTATCACTATCTTAAGTAACATAGATAAGAAGCAAACAACATCTTGCATGCATGCACACAGAGATGCAGCCAGGACTCCTATTTAGACTTTGGAGTCAGGTTTCACTATGAGACTTTTTTTTATAGCTCCTCATTTGCCAGCATCCGTGACCCTTTGATCTCTGATTTTCTTTTGGGTAAATCAAACGGTGAATCAGTGTTATTCTTCATCTTAATCCTCAATTTTCCTGTCTTTGTTTCCTCGCCTTTGTTTCCTCGCGAGTTGAGGTTGATCAGCAGTTCTGCCAGTTCCTTTACACCGAGCCCCATGGCTTCTCTAACAAGGCCGGGCCTGTCTAATACGAGTAAACCTGCCTGATCTGCAGTAATTTCCCCTGCTCACATTATTTCCGGCAGCAGGGTTATTTAAAACAACAATGCCTTCAAAAATAACAGTGTTTTACAAAACAGCAGATTTGAGTTCAAATAAAATCAGTCTTGTATTTTCGAGCAAGACACTACATTCCTACTGTTCCTGATCTGGCACTCGATCCTCTCTGAGCAGGAACAAGTGAAAAGAGCATTTACCCTTTTACATAAGAAGATTCATTGATCATCTCAATTGTTAGAGTCTGTTCTGCATCTTAAAATCTTAAAGGAATAGTGTGAATTTTTGGGAAATGCGCTAATGATGTTCCTGGCCTTTTAGAAGATTGATCGTTGTTGCTGCGTTCAGCCACACAATATTTGGGCCCCATGGAAATCACAACTTTCAACTTTTTGTACAGATCAAACAAACAAGATACAAAGTGTTAAATTGTGAGCTTAGAAGTGCATGGAAGTCTTAAGGAATACTTGAGACAGACAGAGGGAACAGGGAAACAAAAATGACTTTAAGGGTGTCCAACTGATCAATAATCTGTACCATTTGTACCAAACACAAGCAGACTTGCATATGCCTGGTAATGTTTTGGTAATGAGTGTGAGCTGGACTACACCCTTGAGAGGGGTGAGTGGGTGCAGCCTGGCTGGCAAAACCACGAGGGATTTAGCTGTATGCCACAGAAATGAAGATATTTTGGAACAGTTTTCAATATATTTCCTCTTGTCAGTTAACCCCTGCAGATCTTTATCTTTTCATTTTCCTCATTCAGACACAAACACATACGTGCAGATGAACGAGTAGACGCTATATGGGTGTTTTCTTTGGCTCTCCACCTTCTCAATCATGCTCTACTCCATCCCATTTGTATCCTCTTTACTTACGCCCCTTCAGCTCAATTAGTATCCTTTCCCCCCTGCTCCACTGATCCGTCTTTAATCTGATTCCAGTCTTATTTTGATTCCCTCCCTCCTTTTCCCTGCAGCTCGCTGCCTCATGACTCATGGAGGATACTCCTCAGTGCTACAATCAGTCATAAAGTGGGTAAATATAGATCAGAAGCCTTTAAGACGTAGTACGTGTGAGTGAGCACATATCACACCTGAATGCAGACACCTATCAGCGATTGGGTTTTTGCCAAGTCGTAGTTTCTCATGGTTTTACAGGCCAGCAGTTTGGATTGATTTACCTGCTTGGGAGCACGTCGCCTGCCTCAGGTCTAATCACACCTGCTCCTATTGTTCTACATCTGCACTCCATCCTTCTGCTTAACCTGTTCTTGTAACTGATCGCATCCCGTGACGGTTTGACCTTTTAACTTTCTCATCCACGTTTTTATGTCTGGATTTAGGCATGCATTAGAGCCAAGTCCTTATGAATCATGCACTTGATTCCTTTTACCCCAAAACATTTCATTGACCCAAAGCATCCGGGGTATCATCTGTGTGAGGTTTTTGCTATCTTGTCAATGATATTGTGGAAATTGAGGAGTCTCATGATTGAAATACAGTGTTAATAGAAGTGTATGCACTCTTACAAGAGGCTTTTTGTATGTGTGCTCTTGAAAGGTGTTGCATTTGTTAACTCACTCGAGTAAAGTACCGGCAAGTGAAACCTAACTTTGACTCTTGTCATAATCCTCCCCTTTTATCAGGGCGTAACATTGCTGCTGCCACCGTTATTATAAGTCATATATTTATTATATTATAGTTGTTAATCTTAGGGAGGTTGTTGTGCATCTCTGTCTTTACTAACTTTTTCTTTCTGGGGGAATGTTAGGTCACTGTTAATTAAAATCTACAGTCTAGACCTGCTTTATTTGAAAAGTGTCATGAGATCCTTTGACACCATATAAATTAAAATGGACTTGACTAGTCTTGTGGCGAGACACATCTTGGGTGCGGCATGGAAAACAACATGCAAACTGATTTGGCCAGAAAAAGGTCTCACTTACAAAGGAGTTTTGTAAAAACGTTCTGTTTTGTAAAAATGTTCTGTTTTTGGAACTATTTTCTGGTAGTTCTTTATTGTTTTCAATGTATTGTTTTCTATTTTAAAGTGGCCTCTGTTAGTATTATCGTATTAACAATAAAGATACCTGATGCTTTTATTTGACTGTTTTAGTGGATTTAGCAGCTAAAGAGCCAAATACTGTATGCTTTGTAAGAGTTGGAGAAGAAAAGTGTGTGTTGGACTTAAACAAACATGGATAGGCACAGCGGAACAAGATAGTAACAAACAGACATTGTTAAGGAAGAGGAAACAACACAGTATTATAACCGTATTGGGAACTCACAAGGTATTTTAGAGGAACGGAAAAAGTGTTTGTTCTGTAAGTTTATTGCAGTTGGTAGCATATTTCGCCATTGTGGTAATCATCGTACAGTTTTGCCTTCAGAAGACAAGCAAGACACACCATTTTGAATTTCTTGACTGTGCCCGCCGAAAGTGGCACCAAAAATGAAAACACTATTTAACGCTAGGGGGAAAAGTTGTCAAATGCTACTTTAAAATGTATGTTGTGATGACATGATGACAAGATCGGCGGTATCGCTATCCAGTGGTTTCCAAGTGTTTTTAGTCACTCTCATTATGCAGCATTGCATCATCGGCAAAGGGCACGTGAGCAGATTACATTCAACTCTTTTCATTGAAACTTTTTCCTGATAAGAACTCAGGTAAGTCTTGAATCACGGTTTCCCACCCTATTCTCTTTATAATCTACCGCAAGTGAAAAAAACGGAGTGATTAGGCTCTTTTAAATTAGAATTGAAAGGAAAGGGAAGCAGCCTTTACACAAATTACACAACCACAAACCGAGTTGATATACTGCTTGCCACTGGTTAATAAATCCCTGGTGAATACTCCTAAAGGGTCAGAACATGTTATAAGGATTTTATAAAATAAAAATGTATGTTCTTCTTAGTTTCCCCGTAAAAACACTCAACTGAGCTGAGGAATCACATTGTGTGTTTATACATTAGATAAATAACAACCCTTTAAAGGTTGTGAAAATCCAGTCATTTTTAGGAGTTTTCTTTTGAACAAGGAGCTTTCGATGTTAGATACATTTTTTAACTGCTTAACTAAAATGATATATTCTACGTCTTAAAGCCTCTTTATCGAAATAATAATAATTTTTTGGTACGACACTTAAAAGTTGTTCCCACTGATGCTTCTTACATGTCCACAGCATTGTCAAACTGATGTTAAAATCAAAACAGTTCAGTTTACGGACTAGACAGGCTTCTAGCTTACTTTCTGAGTTCCGGGTAAATCACAGATCAGACGGTTTATGACATTCTTTGGGGTGTTTCGCCCAGTAAAGGGGGCCCCACAATTTACAGGGATTATATGGTGTGCTTTATATTTAGGTATGCACATAAAGAGCCTGAGTCAGGGAGAGCACAGCAGAGCAGAGCATTAGCGCCATGCAGGAGCTAATCCAATGGGAAGTAGCAAGCAATGGGGATAAGAAGGAGCGAGTTTCAAAACAAACATGGCCCAAGAACTAAAAAACCTCCACTTAATCTACATTCATAGGTATTAGATTTGGTCCAGGGGCCTGGAGCTCAGCTACTGCTGCAGTGTCACTGAACAAGTCAATAATCCCATTATGTACCAGCTATAACTGCTCTTAAGCAAACCTAGTGAGGTTTCAGGCCATGCAGCCCATGTACCAAAGTTAGAAACATGTTCTAGGTATTCTTTACGATTTCTTAAAGACGATCTTGGATTTATGGAAAAGTTACCAATAGAGTAAGCCATATGCTGCGGTCTAACCAGAATGTTCCATTCACTCCAAAAGGGGAAGCTGCAGTTTTTGCAAGTAGACGTTGGCCTTGCACAGAAGTAATTTATCTGACAGTTACCTTTGTTCTCGTCCAGAACTTGTTTCAACCATTTTCTTCATAAGTTTGTTAGGTTGTGAGGTATACATTACAATTACCCTTTTCATTTCACAATGTCATCTATCTATTAGAAATGTGCTTTTGCGTGTATTTCCATGCCGTAACTTGAGTCTATTGATATCTTACGTTAACAAAAGCATAACTTTTCAAACATTTGGTTTCAATCCAATGATTCAGTAAAAAAGATTAGTTAAAGTTGGTTTTCATTAATCCTTTTTCAATGAACTATTGAAACGAAGCAAATCCATCTCAAAACGATATTTCTAACCAAACTACTTCTGTTGTCGCTATTCTACTGGATAGTTACCTTTTTCCTTTCCTGGATTATGTTGATGTTAGTGATAACATCAGTTCCCAGGGGACATTTCCCTTAATGCAAATGGTTGTCTATGGTTAGATTTAGAGGTGACATTACAGCACACTGCTTCATAGTGCCATTTTATTCATAAGGCTGGATTTCTGTCTGTCATTAAAAGCGTGAAGGAATGTCTTATTGTCAGTTCTATTAACTTCCTCATTAGATGTGCGAGTATCAGCTTGACGCACAAAAACATGGAAAACTCATGATGCTAGTTAAACGTCTTGAAAACACAGCATTCACAACACAGCAACCTTTTGCTTATTTTATATAAAAACAATATAATTTGAAAATAAATATGCTTTACTGTTTTACATAGACACAGAAAACATGTTAATAGTAAAGGAGAGACAAAGAGAACTAATAATGAGGGCTCTAGGACTGATGGCAGAAATGATGCAGATTGTTATCCAAATTTCAAACGGTGGTGGTGGTGTAGTGTATGATGAGCTGCTAGCAATAGTTTATTTGTTTTTGCATCTTGCAGGACGGACAAAACACAAGTCCGCTACTTACTTAAATACCTTAATACAACTTACTTACACACAGATGTGCCCATTGACAAATGCACATTAACACACACACACACACACACACACACACACACACACACACACACACACACACACACACACACACACACACACACACACACACACACACACACACACACACACACTCTCTCTCTCACACACACACACACACACACACACACACACACACACACACACACACACACACACACACACACACACACACACACACACACACACATACACCAACACACAGATACACACATGTTGAAATCCTACACAGCACCCACACCCTTAGATAAGAGGGGTTGAAAAATCCAGAGATGTCATCAGTACACCAGTACAAATGATATATTTAGGGAATGTTAACAAATCAGTTCGATTTTTTTGTGTGTTTTTTGTAGAAAAGCACAGAGAGTCCATGCTGAGAGAAGCCATCAGTGACCTTACACATAGGGGGAAATATGACAGCCATAGGTACATAACACTGCATATATAAATAGACCAAATTAAATATGGGTAGAAGACTGAATACTGAAACATACTCTATAACATTATAAATTATCTAAAATGGACTATGGCATAAGGGGATAGTAAGTATGTACAGGTTCAGAGAAGAGATATGTAATCAAAGGTTTCCGTATTGAACAACTAACAAAACTACCTTGACAACCCTCTCCTGAAACAAGGACACAGAAAAATAATTTAAAAAGCACTCGAAAAGATTTCTCAGTAAATTGTGTGAGGCACAGTTTTTAAAATGGAATCAAACTACAGTATAGGATATTTTCAGTGGTTTTCATGTAGGACATAGCAAAACATTAGATGCTATATTGATAACCGGTATCCCTTTACTCGTAAATGGCACTCCAGAGTTTCTTCTCCTGCAAGCTGATCACAATGGTGACATTGTGTAACTCCATGTCAGTCCTGCATTGTTCAACAGTCCTGGTTTGTCTGCTGTTTTTCACTCCAAAAGCAAAAGTAGATATTGTCCAATGAAATCCATCCATTATTCTTAGAGAGTGCGCTCCCATGTCCTCTTCAGCTTCACCTTTTAGCAGTTAAATATATCTTAGATTGAGAGGTTTTGCAATGTTATGATTGACACACAACCACAGTAGAGATTCATATCCAGTGAAGTAATTGCATACAATTAATTGACAACAAGACTACACCTGCATAGCAAGCCTGTTAGAAATGCAAAACCACATGGCAGCTATTTGCTTTTTGTAAAATGATGGGTTTAGTATTTTTTTTTCTGTAGCAGCATAACAATTCTCTACTCTTTTTTTTACTTTTATCATGGTCTATATACACACAAAGATAAACAGTGGGAGGGAACTTCAGTTCAGACTTTCTGTATTGTTCTCTCTGTCTGTCCAAGGGGAATGCTTTCCACAGAAAAGAAGAGCTTACGGTTCAAAGGTCAAAGTGCTGTGCTGTGAAATATCTCTAGAATATTCCTTCATCTTGTACATCTGGTGCTGCCGCTTCTCTCATCTCCTAGGCTTGTCACATCTAAACAAGATGGAAAACATATACAGTTATTAGAACAAGAAAAAAAACAGGTTGTAGGCAAGGCAAGTTTATTTATATAGCACCTTTCAACACAAGGCAATTCAAAGTACTTTACAAAAAATGAAAGACATTAAGAAAATGGCATTTAAAATCAGTCATTAAAAAAAAAAAAAAACATTAAAAGAAAAATACATGGATAAAAGTTACAGTGCAGTTTAAGATGTGAATAGTTCAATTAAAAGCAGCGGCAAAAAGAAAAGTCTTTAGTTGTAGATGGGAGAATTCTTCGGTCGTTTTCTCAATATACATAAACTATTTATTCGTATATCTACCAAAGTCACAATGTTAGCTGCCATAATAATATTCTGCTTGATTGTGTACCTTGGTCACCTATCCCTGAAATTACTTTTTAGGCCTCTTGGGGGTAGAAGAAATAAGCTTTAAACACAACATTGATATATTATCAACTTTCAATGTAGATATGGCGAATGTGTTGGCAATCAATTAATTATATACACAGCAACTTTACTATTGATTTGGGTTCATTTTTGAGTCCATTTGATGAATGTTTTTAGTTTTCTAAATGCTCCACTGTAAGCTAGTCGCTCACTTAGAAGTCCATTAAGTGCTTGGCAAGTAGACTACAGAGGGTTTAACAGAAGGTCAATGACACCAATGAGTGCCTTATGAGTCAACCAAAACTGTAAATGTTATGGGCTGTAAAACCAGAAACTATTTATGAAAGATCCTATAGGGCTTCGTAGAGCTATTAGTAACTGTTAAGTTGGAAGTCAAGTTTATATTCTCTTTGGGATCATCACTATGAGCGACCTCAAGTGTTGATTAGAACCACATTAAAGGTCACCTATTATAAAAAATCCACTTTTTCATGTATTTTATACATAAACATGTGTCCCCTCTGTGTAAAGAGATTCTGATAGTTCCAGGAAAAAAGATTCGCTCAAGGTGACCGTCTTTTTCTGAGTATGTAGGGTGTAGCTAACGTAATGGAAAAAGGCCCTTCCTAGAATCAGTGTTTGTTTTTCCTTCAACATGGCCAACTCTGTGAAAGATGACCCTCTACCCGCTGAACCCTACACACTGGTCATGAAACCAACACAGCACTTACTTGCAGGTCCTCTCGTTGAGCTCTAGCTGGCGTTCTTTACAGTATTCGTCTGTATGTTTGCAGGAGCATCGGCAGGTAGTGGGATCCTGCACGAACAAACGCTTTCTCCTCTCTGAGCAGTGCTCACAACATGGCTCACAAAGACTGGACGGGAAGAGACATACAGAGAGATGGAGAGAAAGAGGGAGAGAGATTATTATCACAGGGTATGATTACCACCCATAAGAAAGGTCACCCTTAGGTCAGCAGGGTTATACGCTCCAGCTTGCTCTTCTAAGCCAAGCTGACAAGTTGTACTACATGTGACAGTTGGGTTGTATTGCACACAGGTTCCCACAGAGCAGGCAAATACTCAAGCAGTAAAATGACCCTCCCTCACGCACCCTAAACCCTCCCGTGTTGATTGGACCGCTCACAAATCCCATGAATGTGATAGACATGCATTGAGCAAAACTGGTTCATGCAACACGAAACGACACTTATTGGCTTTGAACTGCGGGTCGATGACCTTGCTCTCACTCTCACAAAAGGTAAACTCTTGATAAAGAAGACTCAAGGGTCTGCTTGGGGCTCCATTAAGAAAGATATCATTTTATTGAGTGAAAAGTGCAGACTATGTTTCTTACAGAGACATTAGATTCAGAACAGATGAAGGCTCAGAAACTCCAATTACATCTCAAAATACAATTGTTCACAAATAAAAGGTATTTTTTCACAGTATGAGCATGAAGAACAAATTAGATCATCTTTGTATTATTGTTATATATTATATGGGTGTGTTTGTATAGTTTCAGAGACAAAAGTAGACAAACCAAGATACAAAACAGTGCTTGTTAAACCATTTGCTTGTTTACATATCCTCCTAGCAAAAACAGAAAAGCAAAAAAAGGCAATAGATAGCCATCACTCATATCTTAACATTACATAAAAAGGACCAGCATTATGCACAGGACGGCAAAACCTGTTTGTAAAGATGAAAAGAACAAAGAGTGAAAAGGAGACAGGTTCGAGACACAGCAAAGCCGCACAGACTCAACACCGAACACAAGACCGTGATTACAATCCAGGCGATCCCAGCTTAGATACCAGAACAGTACAAGCTGGTCTGAAAAGCTATGATGGTGGAGCTGTGATCTTGTTTCAGTAGAGAGTTCATGTTACAGCCAGCGGCCGATCTGTTTATTCCACCCTCTTTAAACGTGTCCATTATCAATCAGAAAACTGGCTATCTGGCAAGATGTTAGGAATTACTTCTACCAAGTCTACCATACCATATTCTACCCTTTTCACTGATACGCCGCTGTATCTCATCCCAACCATCGCCACACTCTCACCCAAAGATATTCTTTCAAACGAGAGCTGGTAAGGTTGGGAGGAGATTACATAGGTATTTTGACGAATGGAGATGGGTTTTGCTTCATTACTTGTGATGTAGGATATGGCAAGTCTGCTGTACTTCCTTGGTTATCTGTGTTATGTAAAGTTTTGCTAACGCTACGTTGGCAAAACAGGTTAGCAATCAGGGCAGTTTAGACACTGATACTCTGAGGGTGTAGAACATGACTGATGAGACAAAGTTAGGACATTACACAGAAGCAACATGCTAATTGATGTGGCTATTGGTGCAAATTAAATAGGGCAAATGAGCTCCTCCCAAATGAGCTTAACTATGAGAAGTGCAACACTCAGGTGCAGGTAGGTGGAGAAGGCAGAGCTGACGTACGCATCGTGAATTGTTTTGTCGCGGTTTTTCTTTCGTTTTCTCTTTTGGCCTTTACCCTTCCCTTTCCGGGGTTTTCTGCAAGAGAAAGAGGAAAACAACGCAGAGAGATGGCTGAGAGACAGAAGGGAGAGGGACTGATGTGTCCAGAAAAGGCCTACAGTGATAATTGCATTAAATCAAATATCCAAACAATCAAAATTGTATATTGTATAGTTTGATAGTTATGTTATTGTAGGTGGTTTCTACGCTTCCTGTTGTTTATGAATATGATGGATATCAACTGTTCCATCTTGGGTTAAATGTTTTTGTTATTTTTAGCAAAAGGCTACAATGGGTTTAAGCGATTACCAGTTTGAGAAGGTCTGGCTTAGTTGGCTTTACGAACATTTCCCAAATGGATTAAGGACAATGAAACCACAAAACTGCATCTTTCATCTATCTGGGTCAACTCTTTATGGCTGTTTCTACTTTTGTCCGACCACAGCACAATGAAAACCAGCTTGTTAAACACACCTGGACTTTCACAGGTGCAAGCTGGATATATATTTGTTTTCTCATAGATAAATGTTTATATCTAAAATTGCCACAGACTGGTCTTCTCCTTCTGGAACACATCATTAACTGCTGGACACGTCAATAAAGTATTTGGCTCAGTCTGAGGAACTCTTAGATGTTCATGTTTGGGGGAAATAGAACCGGCTGCTTGATATATGGTAGAAATGAATAATGATTACGTCAGCATAGTAACATGTTCACAATGCTAATATGTTAATGTTTAGCAGGTAAGATATTACCATCTTAGATCAGCATGTTAGCATACTAACATATGCTTATTAGTATTAAACACATTGCAGCTGAGGCAGATGGAAATGTCGTTAGTTTTCAGGTATTTAGTCAAAACCGAAAAGATTTGACTTAATGATTGAGCTTTATGAGAGGTTAGGACACTCAGTCCAATGATGCTATTCAAGCACAGCTGGAACGGGATGACTACTATGGTGCGTTGAATAGGCGTGCACCAGATAATGCTGTATACGTATGTAGGATTTTCCCCTTTAAATTGTTCATCATCAACGATGACAGTTTACAAGTTTCATAACCTCAGCAGGATGTCTTCCCTAAAAGACCTCCAGAGAACTGTCACTGCTGACGGATCAGCAGTTAACATTATGGCTAAACAAGAAAGTATCGGAAGCATCGGAAACGGAAGTTGAATGACCCTAAGACCTTTGTAGACGCACGCCTCTGAAGCCGGACTTGTAAACAGTTAAGACAAGGTTAAAGAGGAGGTCTCAAAACTAGCCCTTATCTATATGACATACAACTGACATCAAACCCAAATCTCCAACCAATAACCGCCCTGCAACCGAAAGATATTAACGACTTTTTGCAGAAGGACGATTGAAGACTTTTAGTGACACTTTGCACAAGTTTAACTGGTCTTCAAAAACACTGTTATCTATATCAAAGCAACCAGTAACAGGAGTTTAGTGGGATGTAAACAGTTAAGAAGAGAAGATAGGAATGTAAAGATGAGATGGAAAAGGGAGAAAGGTGTAAAGGACAGGCATAGAGAGGGCAATAACCCCATCAAGTGTCACTCATTTACCTGAATAGATTGGGCTGGTATTCCCCGTGTTTAGCACCTAAAGGCTACATGCTAATCTCAACACGATGTAGCTTTTATTAAATAATATTGTTGAGATGTGTTTTGGAGCGTCTCTATGAGAGAGGGCACATAGCATAATGTCAGTAAGGCTTTAGGCTGTGAGCTTCAGACAAACAAGAGAGAGAGTTTGTTTGCAGAGCAAAACCGGAATAAGATCAAATCTCTAGTTCCCATTGTTTCCCCTGGGAAAAACCAACAATCTCCTTGTAGAAAAAAGGCTGTACTCACTTTTCTTTCTGTTCTTTCACTTCTATCTTTGACCTGAAATGCAGGAACAAAACAACACGACATTAGATCACAGCAGGTCGTTGTTCGCCAGTAAACAAATACTTATCAAGATCATCAGAGACCAGAGTTTCATTATCAGCATGGTTGGGCATGCATCCATTTAATCAAATCATCATCCTTTACCAGAAACTGTGATAAAGCTGGCTTTTACTTTTAATCACTCAGTAAATGAAGGCAACATGTTGAGGAATAGTGCAGTGTGCAAACTCAAAGACTGGCCAACAAAGGGGTGTGTTCACTGATGAACTCACACATACAAGCAGGACTACAATAGCTGGCAGGTTTGTTTCACTTCTCGTCCATATGACGACACGCGATAACAGAATGTGGAGCAATAAGTGTGCAGTTGCACTCTGGAGACCACAGTTACCAAGAAGTGTTGGGAAACAGTATTTCGTCCAAAAATCTTTCTACTTGAAATTAACCGTGCAAATGCTCTGACAGTAAATGAAGCATAAGGGCGGATATGTACGACATCTAGGGATGACTTAAAGCTGTTGGCTGATAAATATTATGTATGCGGCTGTCAAACGCCCTCACTGAATCTGTAAAGGTGTATGCAGAGAAAATAAGCATTTTTTTATGTAAGTTAAAGGAGCAATACCAGAAAAGTCAAATATATACAACATGAAACTTGTGTTATTGTACTTTACACCACTGTTTATTAGTCATGTAACATTTGTTTTTCTAAATGTAATCTTGGCAATGAATTGGTGATCTGTAAATAGCAATGAATGCCTGTTTAACTAGCTCTAATCATTACATCACAGTAAATCAAACACCAAATAGATTTATCACAGCTTATAAAATCTTATGATTGTGCCCTTAAAGTTTATAGCTACATCTGAATGGAGTAACAGGAAGTTATTGTATCATCACAGACAGCAGTAGGGGTGACATTACTTTATAGTTCTGCAAACAGACTGCTCCTGCCTTACTGAAAAACACAGACATATTTTAGATTTGTTTCCTCAGAAAAAGAGAGGGCTTGGTCCTCGGCCAGTAGCCCTCCCTTATTGTTTGGTTTTCAAGATTTATCTTAAAGCTGGGAGGATGATTCATGTCCCCCACTCTGTGTTCCTGTGTCAAAGTTCACTCATTAATGGCTCGCAACAAAAATATGTCACCATAATGATCTGATTTTGACAAAGTATCAGGAAGTTATGAATCTAACCTATGGCTATCGACAGAGGCCCAAGACAAGAGCAAGGAATGCGACATATTTGTTGACCATTGACTTGGATAGTGACACGAAGATTATGAGGATGAAATATCAACATTCCTTTGTTTCACTTTAAGTAAGCATCTAATTATGTTATGCCAGTCGAACTTAAACCCCATGATGATGTTACCAATACATAGACCGTTCCACTTTTAGTTGGTACTTATCTCCAAGATTAAACTGCCCATCCAAACAAAAGAATAAATAAGAAGTTCATCCATAAAAGGCATACATCCTTCTACCTTAAGTCTTACCAGTCACCTTTGTATGACTGGAGGCTACAGAAAAGACACAAGGAGTACTTATCTCAAAAATCAATGACAGCTGTCATACCTACGTTTTTTCCAAGCATACCTCTACATGCCAGAGAACTGTACTCCCAGAAATGTATCTCCTTGAGTTGAGCAATGTGATGGAATGAAGATAAACTCAAACAGAAAGATGTCATTGAGTCCATTCTGGGTCTTGAGACCGCTTCTTTGGAATTCTTGCACTTGTCTTGGACTTGTTCCTTTTTGGACTTGGTTTTGGTGTCAGGTTTAAAGCGGAACAAAACATTATTGAGTATTATATGCTAGTAATCTACCTTTAACTTTGCTATTTAAACCTGGGTTGGAATAAGTCTTGTATTTTTCATGATTTAAACTGCATTAGCTTTTTTCCAAGCTCTGTATGCAGGAGATCAGAGAACTAGCTTTGGAAAGACACTATTGCCTATAAGGACTCAATTTCTTTTTGGACTCAGTCTCGACTTGGTCTCAACTGCCTTTGGAGTTGGTCTTGACTCAAACGGCTTGGTCTTAGAGTTGACTTGGACTTGTGTAAGTTTGTTATGACGACTGCCTTGCTCAGGTGTTTTTAAGACCAGTGAAGTAAAAGAAACAGAGATAAGATATGAATCCACCTGACAGGCATCTGCTAGATGTGTCAGAGGCAAACAGAAGACAATAACTTCACATGACGTGTTTGGTCGACCTCTGCTCTGCCACACAAGTGTGCAGCTGTAAGTCTTTCCTTCACATTGTGTGAGTTTCTGTGTGTGTTCAGGGTTTCTTACCTACACTCACATGCGCTGTGTTCTGTGAAACTCATGAAAATATCATTTTGTTGCCTTTGTGGTTTTATTCTTTTTATCTGTAAAAGAAAAAGAAGAAAGAGAAGTCAGATATGAAAGAAATATACAACAATTTGACAGTTATCCTAAACTACTTGTTATTGTTAGCAAAATGTCACACAAAGTGTCAGGTGTTCACATATAAACCTAAGAGAAAACGGATCTACATGTATGAAGTTAAAGGTTTAAGTATAATATCATAAATGCTCAAGCTGATCTGAAGCATGTTAAGTTCCTCACAATACAAGGAAGAAACATGTTCCTAAAACATTTCCACAATGTTTTTAATGGTTCACGGTTTGACTAACTGCCATTTAATAACATCATCATGTCTTGTTCTTCAGTTGTTAATTTGCACCTGACTCAGATTAGCTCTTCAAACTGTTCATCTCAATGTTCCTGCATTCTCTTTGCTGGTTTTCCAGAACATTCTGGTTAAAATGTGCAATCTTTAATTTAGAAACTTGGAGTTTAGAGACACTGTAAACAAGAGACGCAAGTTCAAAAAAGATATTCACTATTTAAAAAAGAATAATGTTACACTTGATCAGCCTTTGAGCTAAATGCGAGGGCTGTTAGGGTTATGGGCTGACATTTGTGTGACATTTTTGCCAAAAATAAACTATCAATGTGACCATACTTGAGAAACAAGGCTTTAAAAAAGCAAAAATGACCCTCCGTCACTCCCACCACTGTGAACCCTAATGCACAAAACACTCAAAGTAATGTTGTCGTAATAAACAATTATCCTGACCTCCATTGTGACGTTATAGCTGGACGTTGGCATACACTGCATCATCTCGTCATTGCAGCAGCCGGCGCAGCGCGTCAACACCACACACGACGGGATGAAGATGTGCTCCACCTCCTCCGGATACTCCTGCATAATCTCCACCAGCAGCTCTCGAGGCTTACACAAACTCTTGTTGTACACCTCCATTAAAGGGATCACTGGGGAGACAGAGTACGAGGGTTATAAAATGGCAGGGAGCTTCAGTATAAACCACTGACTCTTGAATACTACAGAGCTGTAACAATAAGACTACTAAAAGGAGCATGAATTAAAACAGCTGGCACGCTAAGGGAAGTCACATGGACGGAGATTAAACACACACGTTTAACTTTCTCTTGTTCCATTGAACCCTTTCAAAACACACATTTATGCAATTTCGACTACATCTATTTATCTATTAGGACACTGCATTAGGACACTGCATCCGTGACTTAAGAGAGCCTGTTTTAATAGCAAATAGTTTTTCCCCTTCAGTCTACTTTCAGTCTTTGCAGGAGATATGCTATTGAGAAAGATATTAGCACACAGTCAGACAACACCTCCGAAGTATCACCCAGAGCCTAAAACAATATCATGAAGTTTAGCTTCAGATTCTCCAAATGATGTTGGGCAATGCTGGAATTGTGCAAAAATGAAATTGTTGGCCAAGAGGAAGAAATTCCTTTCTAAAAAGAGTCTGGTCACCATAACATTTCCTCAGCTTAACCTCAAACGTGGAAGAATGCTGTATGAAAAACGTCCAAGAGTTGAAATGTCAGGGTGAAACTGCTTTCAATAACTTTAGGGGGGGGGGGAGTATGAGTGGATAAATCTTTAAAGTGAAACTAAGCAGTTGTCCACCAGGAGGCGAAATGTGCCTTTTTAATTTCAAGGTGAACCTCAAACCAGCCCTTTTTTTATTTGGCTGTGTTCCAGCCAGGGAGCCCAGAGCAGCCTGAATTCCCACGGTGCCCTGTGGGACACCTACCGGCATGTGGACCTCTTTCTGGTTCCTTCGGTATGTGGGCGCTCTGCAAAGAAGGGGGGGAAAGGCACGCTGTTAGTTACAGTATATTGTGCAAGAGCTCAGAACAATGCCACCCATGCCCTTTACTTATCCAAAGTTAACAAATTTTTTTAATGTAATTCTGTTGACTCTTGCCAGACAATGAGGAAGTACACAATACAGGAGCAATACAAGGTGAATGTTTTTTTACTCTGATCCCCTATCACTTCTGGCAATATATTCCTATATTATTCTGCTTGTATAATAATTGTCATATAATCTCTCTGTGTGTGGTGTCTAAGGCCTTGTATGGCCAAATATTTTACCAGAGGTTCAACGTGCCAAGCAAGCTTCCTCAACATTCTACTACATCAGCTGCCTGAAACAACTTCATAAACTGTTAAATTACTTTCTGTTGTTTTTTGTCTAAGTTATCAGATCTTTAATGTGTGCCTCGGACGCCTCTTGGCAACTCGGATTAATAACTCGTCATTAAAACCGGTAAGAATTGTATCCTGCTACTTTCTCTCACAGGGGGTACATGTCACCACACCAGTCGGACCACAAAAGGTTTTGGCAACTTTCCATCTGCGCGCGCTCTTACGCACAACTTTTCTCTCGCTTTTACGCACGCGCACAACCGCGCTCCTTGTACTCTCCCTCTCTTTCCCTCTCGCATACAGGCGCGGGCAACTATCGCAACACCACGTCAGTATTGCATGAGACCCAGTCCTGTAGCACCAATTCAGGCAGTGGGTACAACTTTGTTTTCCCTATTCCTTAATTAAACGTTTAAAAAGCGTCTCGGCTTAGTGGGTACCGCAGTCTGCACCCCCTTCTGGTGGCCTTAGAGGATTTAACATTGTGGGCTGAGAGACCCAAGCCATACAACACACTATACAGTATACGTTATTATCAATTGAAGGGTGTCAAGCTGCGAACACCGGCCCCTAACCCGATGATAGGCCGGCTGGGAATGAGCAGTTGAGACAGCATCATGATACCATTCAGCGTTGAGTGGGGGGAGTTTAGCTGTCATCAAATCAGCCAGTTAGATAAATAAACACTTTGCTGGACTCTGGAGGGGGAATAGTTCATTAACTTGGAAGTGAGATGCTTGAGAAAGTACTACATTACAATCTAAAACATCCTTGGTTTCTTTGAGGTGGCAAAAGAATCCCCCGAAGTCGAATCATATTGCTGAAAAAAAAAGGCAGCCTCCTGTTGCAGAGCTGTTCTTTTTTTTTCACCGGGAAACCTTTGCTCAATGCCTCAGTGAACACACTGAACTTGATTAATGATTATGTGGAAAACGATTTACAGTGCGCACTTGCGTCAACCGGACTAATCTGTGAAGTAATGTCTGTTTTGTTCTAGAACTAAGTGATAGCCTTAATGGCAGTATGGAAAGTAGGATGTGATCTTATTAGAGAGGGGGGAACCGTGAGAGTAGCCTCAGTGCCAGGAGTGAACCTGCACATGTCCTAATTCAGAATGGAGCCACTGCGCCTTTAAAGCGTAATAATATCTCCAAGGTGGTTTTACAGCAGGCCTGCAATCACACCGCGTCAAACTTCACAACATTATTAAAAAATCATCACATATGCCGCATTTGAAAAGAAACTCACCACCCACCAGTGTGTGGGTAAGGTGTATGCAGGGTTGGCTTTGCGTAATGGCTGTTTAAATCTCCCCAAAGCCACTAAACAGTTCGATTTGTTTAAACACGAGCGATGACCTAGCCAGAGGAAAGGCAAGGACGAGCTACACATTAATGACCAATGGCTACATGACGCAAATAGAGGTCGGTTGGTGTTTTTTTTTCTTCCTTTCTTTTTGGTCCAGTTTTCTCTCTGAGACACATGACTCACCTTGACAGCTGACAGCGTCAAAAATAATAGAGTCAAACTGTCAATAAAGTTCATCGTGTTTGAAATCCAATCCAAAGGCAGGCGACGTTTAAAATCCAAGAGGCCAATGTGGCGATTTGTCCTCAAGCATGAAGTTTGCAATAACAACAACAACAACAAAACAAGTGGACCGGCTAGAACTTCTCTAAATAAGGGGCAGGGGGTTGTAATGGCAAATCCATGTTGGTCCCGGGGTCGGAGCATACAATCCTTTGCGCATAACTTCTTCAATCTCAACTGTTGCCAATGATTTTCAAGATATCCAGAAACACGAGAATCCTAGACGCAAAACGTCTCACATTGTTCCGCAGCAGACCTTTATCTTCTTGCAAAGGAATAGCAATCCACATTACAAAAATAATCCCATGCTCGATTCTCCAGTCGTCTCCAAGTATCTGTACATTGGAAACTTGTAAGCGCAAGTCCTATGTGCAACTTGAACCCATGGACCAGCTGGATGGCGTTCAAGGAAAAAAAGAAAACCGCGCGGAGGGGGACTGGTCACACAAAACTTTGTCTATTTGCTATGGGTTTTTGTATTCCTCTGTCACTGCGCACTAAGCAGGTCGGCTCTCTGCGTTAAGACAGACCGTGTCCACCTCTGTCTCGCTCTTTCCATACTGTGGATGTGTGTGTGTGTGTGTGTGTGTGGTTAGCACCCCCGGTCCGGGAACGTGGATTGGTGGATCATTAGAGCAGTAGAGGTGTGTCCTCTATGGGCCGATACACAGCACTGCTGCGCGCTCTTCTGAAGTCTTATTCAAAAGTTTCCCCTTTAAACATCTACTCACTCATGTGATCGCATCTCCAGAAATCTATTAAAAGCTGAGCTCAGAAGCTCCGGTCTATTTGTATTTGATTTCATTGGAAGGCATCATGATATTGTGATTGTGATGAAATGTCCCCCCGAATATATATTTCATCTCGTCATGTCGTGTCGAATATTTTGCACAGCTTTGAAATGTCATCAGACATGCACAATCGTATCACAATGAACACCTATACTTTCATTGTTACACTTTATAGTTCTATACAGACCACCTTGCTGTTGCAAGTTAGTATTCGTATTTCATATTTACGACCTCATTCATTTGAAATCAAAACACTTTATTTGTTCCCAGGGACAATTCATAGGCGTCGAGAGTGGCACAGTAACAATATAACAAAAAATACCACAAAAAAGAGCAACAATAAAACAATTATTATGTTAAAATTACGGTTGAACACATGTTATGCCCACATAAACTATAGCCAGTATGACCTTGGATATCCCCTTGTGCATTTTTGCAAAAACAAATCTATTTCCCTCGCGATAACTAATATAAAATGATACCAAAAAGGGTCAAATGTAATCTGTATATTCTCTGGCTTAGAAAAAGGTGAGACAGCTTTTAGTTTCCAGTTGCCCTGGTGGTTTATGTCACATATTTTCCAGTCTTGTGGCTGCTCGTGGTTGTGCTCCAAATATGAAAGCCAACTTGCCAGTAATGGGAGAGCGTGTGTGCCGGGACACGTAGGTTATACGTCCCTGTGTGTGCGTGCGCTGCGCAACGTTGCAGTCCACGAGCTAACGTCACGCACACACTCGCGGAAAAAGCGAATGTGCGCGTCATGACGTCTTTCCTTTCACTTTACTGAGGGAGATCGGGAGAAGACACCTGACCGGAGCTCTTCCTTTTTCTTCTTCTTTAAGCAACAGCTTAAACATGCGGCAAGTAGCCTAGAGAGGACATATACTGGTGATCGATAAAGCATGGGACTCTTTATCATTATTGTAACGCTGTTAATAAAAACGACTGATGGAGATGATGCTATTAATAACCTAGATACGCAGCCTGTGTCCAACATTGGGTGAATGAATGAAAATAAGTCCTCACTTTAGTAAAAGTAATGAAGTATCAGCACTAAATGTATCAACAACTAAATAAGTCACGATGCAGAATGGCCCATGTCAATGTTATATTCCTGTTATACGTTATTAGATAATATTAGTATTGATGCATTAACACATACACAGTATACTAGCTTACTTTATGGAGCTGGTTGACATGAAGATAATAAAATTCAGTCTATTTGTCTTTTTTATAATTCAATCATGCATTTTGTATTTAAATTCTGAGAAGTAGTAACACTAATAATTAAGTATAAAGTACAAGTATCTAAAAAGGCATATAAACTTGGATATTTAATGACTTACCAGACGCAACTTGTTTAATTAATTTGGCTTATTAAGGGGACATTTTATTGTGTTTTCTTCCCTCTGTAAGCACCTTGAATTGCCTTGTGTTGAAAGATGCTATGTAAATAAACTTGCCTTGCCTTGCCTCTTCTTGTTGTTGGTTAAAAGCCAAGTCAATTTAAATCCACTTTTTTGAGGCATACACTGAAACAATAACATGAAGTGAAATGGGTTTAAAGACTAACCTTCTTGGTCAGATATAGGTTAAAGTTGAATTAAAAAATAACCAAAAATAAACAGCACTTGATGTGTGTTTGAAATGTACAAGGGCATTGTCTAAAACAAATAGTTTAATCAATTTGATGTTTAATTTCTTTCTAGGACATCTCACTGATGCTCTTTGAGATGATATATAATAATGATGCCCTCTGCTGGACTGACAGGCCACTGCAGCGGACTACAAATGTAGTTTCTACTTCCAATTTACTGACAGATTGATAGACACCTAGGAAGTGGAAAGAGCTGATAAGTATGTAATGACATAAGTTGGCAGCTATGTGCCGGACGTATTAGGTGTGCTTGCTAGAACTCATACCCTACTGTGAGTACAAGATGGAATAAGACAGAGGGGGAAAAAAGAGAGACAATGAAATTTAAGAGCGGAGAGACTTGAGGCATGATGGAGCAAGAATGCAGAGAGTTAAAGGGAGTGATAAATAAAGAGAACATTTAGGAAGAGAAGGATTCGGCTGTCAGGTAACCAGAGGAGTCCCTTGGCTCGGTACCTGTCCATAGTTTAATTGAAGAAAAACACATGGGTTCATTAACGGTGTCACCAAGCTCCCATTTCTGCTGACTCAGAGTGTGTGTGCACTCCAGCGGGCAAGGTTACAGTGCAAGGGTGAGCGAGTGTATCCCAGATTGTGCTGACTACATACACATGCGTAAAAACACATTGGCTTTAATGAAGGGGTCCTTTCTCAAAAGTACAATAAACAGCCTCCCCTGCGTCCCTCTGCCCATTGACGCTCAGTTTGTTGAACGTCATTATGGTACCAGGAAGTCAGGGTGATTCCTCTCCGGGCTGCAGGGACAACATCTGATGTTTAACTAAACAGCAACAGTCCTTGAGCCGCTACTTTTATCACAAATGTCGCATTTGAGGAGGAATTTGTAGCACTAACCTCAGTGATAAATATATGGCGTGACTGCTTCACAATAAAAAACAACCCTGACCATGATTGGATAGCATTAGCAATAATGTAATACAGATCTGATTTGCATTAGGAGGGTTAACACTAAACATTAGGGCTGATATCAGCAAAATATACATCTGGAGTAAATGCTGGTTTATTTCCCTTGTATCACTTCTACAGAGGAGGGTAATATGAATCTAGCACTGTAAGGTTGGACTCTAGAAAAAAGAAATACTACACAAACAGGATCAAAAGTGTTGAAGTGACAATATTGCAAATGAACAATATGTGTCTATTTAGTGCATTTACTTTTGCTGCTTGGGTACATTTGTTTAATAAACCTGCTATGCTTAAACTATTACTGAATTCAGCATCTTTGCTTGGAACATTAGTCCCTTCTCCCTGGCCTTCTAGTCAGAGCGGAGTATGACACCTCACTATTCCCTGTGTTTTTGATATATCTGTTGTAATTTATTGTCTTTTATTGTGATTGTAGTAATGTGTTTTTATTACATGTACAGCACTTTGGCTCGACCAAAAATCGCTTTTAAATGTGCTATAAATAAAAATTGATTTGATTAGTGCTGGTTTAAATGCATGCATTGATTTCCCTTTGCAATCCCTTGTACATGGTAGCAATCTAAATACTGTGTAACAAAAAAAAGACCCATCCACCAACACTTACAGTAAAGGCCCTAAAAGTACTATAACTTGAACTATATTAGTTCTTTTGTGATCAGATGGCTCGTGTACCCCGAAAAACTTTTATTTGAAAAATATGTGGACAATAAAAAATTGTGTTTTACTATGTTCAAATGTTCCAAATATTCTTATCCCATTTCTATCAAATAAATGCAATCATGAAGCTCTCAGTGATCACATTTTGAATGTCATGCTGTCAGATGTACAGTAGTTTAATTGCTTTGCTTTAATGTTTCCTAAACCCAAATGAATGACTCCCCGCTGCACAAACAGCAGTGTATGTATGCGAAAATCTGAGGATCAAAGTCACGTTGTTTAAATAAGTAACCAGCATTCCATTACAGAAAGTCTGATGGCGGACTGCCACACTCTTTTATCACCCGGAGCCAAATTACACATTCTTCCTCTCTGTTCTCTCCTCCTTTCCGCCTTGTACACTCCCTTTACGAAGAAGTGAGTCTTTGCTTCTTGGCGCGTGTTCGTGAGAAGCGTACGCATGCTACCTATTCTGTGGAAGGGAGTCATTTGCATAGCAAGGTGCCTCTGACCAGGTTATCGGTGTCAACCTCTTCACCAATCTTATATAAATGATCCTGGAATTAACCTTCAACTGCCTGCCATGATAATGTGTTCCGATAACATTCACTATTTAGCACCATGTGATTAAACTCCATAAGTGTGTGCACATATACACATGCCTGCAACATTAATGAGGCCTACAGTATGTGTCAGGCAGGCAGCATTAAAACCCATTATGTACGTGCAAATTTGTGTTTCTCAGTTAAAAAAAAACAGAATAATCGTACAACTTTCTGGAATAGAGATGTGTCTAATTCAATTATAACGGGAACAATAGACTAATTCTGTCTTATCAATTCCCAGCAATAAAGCTACTCTTAAATTTACCAAATGTCATTCTTATCCTCACAAAAAAATGACAGTCATTTGGACTCAATGTGCCACAGATGACTTTACTCACTGTTGATAGTAGAAGTATTAATCATCAGCCAATCACTGTTTGCGACCGTTGATCCTACCCAGCTGTGAGGAGCGTGCCGCAGAGAGGCAGCACACGTCCGTCCGACCTTGATTACCCTTCCCACCTCCTCTTACACCGCGCTTTCTTATTAAGATGAGTAGATACAGTAAGTGGAAGCTTTTAGATAAGCTAAAGTTCGAGTACTTTACCAAACAAGAAAGATGGCTTTTTGAACGGAACAGTGTATTCCACCCCCTCATCACTTTTCTTCCTCTTTCCTCTACAGTTTATCTCTATCGGTCAGTTCCAGTAAGTTAGATGGTTTTTGTGTACTCTCAGCCGAGCAGTTCAAAGAGTTCATAAGCCTATTTGGTCAGAATAATGAAAGGAAAGAGCTGGAGAGAGAGGAGAATGCATTGTACTTCAACCCGACCAAAGGCTAGTCCTGTCAACATTGATCATATTCCAATATGTTGGGACTGGCCCCTTAGGACCACATGTTCACAAAAGACACAAAGCAGAAAAATGCAAATCTGGGAGTTATAAAAGATCAGCACTGCATGGGTTCAGGTCAGTATTCATGAGAGGA